CTGGGTACATAGTAGCTGCCCCAGAGCTGGTTGACAGGGGAACATGCCAGGAGGACACGCCGCGGAACGTCCCAATGGACGCGCCAAGCGACGTCCCTGGGGCGTGCCGTGAGGACGCGCCGCGGGACGTGCCAAGGCGGCGCGCTACAGAACGTGCCAACTGCGATGTGCCATGCCTTCTGGTGCCTCCTGATGCCTCCTGGGGCCTCCTGGGGTTTTGTGGAGCGTTGGGAACCTATGTGTTTTTGCACTTTTCCCGCCCAGGGGTGTTAGGAACCCATTTGTTTTCGCGCTTGTCCCGCCCCTGGGCGTTAGGAACCAATGTGTGTTCACGCTTCTCCCGCCCAGGGGCGTTAGGAACCCACGCCCGCCATGGGGCGTTAGGAACCAATTCGTTTTCACGCTTGCCCCGCCCATGGGCGTTAGGAACCTATTCTTTTTCACGCGTGTTCCGCCCCAACTCGTTAGGCACCCATGTGTTTCACACTTCTCCCGCCATGGGGTGTTAGGGCCCCATGCGTTTTCACGCTTCCCCCGCCCAGGGGCGGGCAACCATGTTAGATCTCCCCTGGGTGGCCTGGACATGTAAAAGCACATGGTTCCAGTTCGGGGCAACCATGTTAGATACTCCCCTGCGGGGCCTGGATACGCTGAATTCGCGCTCCCGTTCGACACATCCTCGCAATGGCTTCCTTGGGCAGGCCCCCAAAACGCCACCCCCTGTCCTGAGCAAGAACACGTTTTTTATATATAAATGTTAAAACATGGGATACGTGTTCGCGTAGCGCTTTTCGGCGCCCCGTGCGTTTCCTGATACTTCGGCGTTGGACCTGACGCCATGTTAGATACCCCTCTGGGAGGCCTGGACACGTAAAAACACATGGTCCCAGTTCTGGGCAATCATGTTAGACACCCCCCTTGGATGGCCTGGACACGTAAAACCACGTGGATCCAGCTCTGGGCAACCATGTTAGAGACACCCCTGGGTGGCCTGGACACGTTAAAACACGTGGTCCTTTCTCGGGACAGCCATGTTCGATATCCTCATGGGTGGCCTGGACACGTAGAGACACGTGGTGCCAGCTCGGGACAACCATGTTAGATATCCCTGAGTGGCCTGGACATGTTGAAACACGTGGTCTTTGCTCGGGGCAATCATGTTAAATACCCCATTGGGTGGCCTGGACACGTAACAACACGTGGTTCCAGCTCGGAACAACCATGTTAGATACCCCCTTGCGTGGCCTGGATACGCTGAATTCGCGCTCCCGCTCGAGACATCCTCGCAATGGCTTCCCTGGAGAGGCCCCCAAAGCGTCACCCCCTGTCCAGAGCAATACAACAGCTTTTTTTGTTGGATTGGGATTTGTGTTCGGGTAGCGCTTTTCGGCGCCCCGTGCGTTTCCTGATAATTCGGCGTTGGACCTGACGCCATGTTAGATACCCCCCTGGGAGGCCTGGACACGTAAAAGCACGTGGTTCCAGTTCGGGGCAATCATGTTAGACACCCCCCTTGGATGGCCTGGATACGTAAAACCACGTGGATCCAGCTCTGGACAACCATGTTCGATACCCTCCTGGTTGTCCTGGGCCCTTGTGGGGCCTCCTGGAGAGAGCCAATGTATAAGAACATGATTCGTGCCCCTGGAGAGGGTCAATATATGGGAACACATGTGAAAACGCACGGATTCGTGCACCTGGGCCATATGTGTCCCGCACTGTTGTGTTGTATCGATCAGAAATTCAAAAACCAGCGTTTCGCTCGGGACATCCTCAACGTTTAATTTGTTATGTTTGGCAAGTAAGTTCGCCAGCCCGTCACAAGTAAAGACACAGTCTTTGATTACATAAACAAAAGAGAACCCTGGGCCGACTCCCTTTGCGGGAAGAACGATCATGCGAAAGCCGCACAATCATATTGAAGACACAAGTCTATTACCTCTTGAAACTTTCTTGGGGTTCCTCTTGAAGCCCTCTTGGGAGCCTCTTAGGCTGTCTTGAGGCAATGGGGGTCTCCTTGAAGCTTCTCCTGCGTGTTCGAGCCCTTCCTTGGTCGTCTTTGAAGGCAACTTTGGGTGTCCTGGAGGCCATGAAGGGTGGATTTGGACGCTCTGAGGGCCCGGAAGGTGCGTTAAAGGGCTCTGGCCCATCCCCCAGGGTCCTCCCTCCAACGCGATTTTGGACCCCCAATGTCTCACACGCCTTTTCACCCCCGGCAAGTGGGGGTTGGCGGAGTGAAGCGCTCGTGCGATTTATATACGCACGTGGAGCTGCCTACCAGTGGGCGCCAGCCATCCATTCGTAGGCAGGTCCTTTTTTCCCAACCATCCTGTGGTGTTCGGTCCTCGTTTTGAAGAGACGGTGCCCCGCGTTCCTCTCCTCTCCTCTCCTCGCCTCTCCTCTCTCTCCTCCTCCTCTCCTCCTCCTCTCCTCTCTCTCCTCCTCCTCTCCTCATCCTCCTCCTCCTCCTCCTCCTCCTCCTCCTCCTCCTTCCTCCCCTCCGCCTCCTCCCTCCTCCCCCTCTTCCCTGCGTTTCACCCACCCAGTACAGCGTTTCGTAGCCCCATAGGAGCTCCACCGAAGGCCCCAGTGCCCGCGCCCGCATGCGTCACCCACACCCAATTCGGCACACCCCTCACACGTTTCGTGGCTCCATAGGGAGCTCCACCGAAGGCCCCAGTGCCCGCGCCGCATGCGTCACCCCACCCATTTCGGCACACCCCTCACACGCTTCGTGGCTCCATAGGGAGCTCCACCGAAGGCCCCAGTGCCCGCGGCCGCATGTCCCCCACTCCCATTTCGGCACACCCCTCACACGTTTCGTGGCTCCATAGGGAGCTCCACCGAAGGCCCCAGTGCCCGCGCCCGCATGCGTCACCCACACCCATTTCGGCACACCCCTCACACGTTTCGTGGCTCCATAGGGAGCTCCACCGAAGGCCCCAGTGCCCGCGCCCGCATGCGTCCCCACACCCATTTCGGCACACCCCTCACACGTTTCGTGGCCCCATAGGGAGCTCCACCGAAGGCCCCAGTGCCGCGGCCGCATGCGTCCCCCACACCCATTTCGGCACACCCAGATACTCGTGCCTCACACGTCAAAGGGAGCCCGCCGAAGGCCCCAGTGCCGCGCCCGCATGCGTCACCCACACCCATTTCGGCACACCCCTGCCCGCGCCCGCATGCGTCACCCACACCCATTTCGGCACACCCCTCACACGTTTCGTGGCTCCATAGGGAGCTCCACCGAAGGCCCCAGTGCCCGCGCCCGCATGCGTCACCCACACCCATTTCGGCACACCCCTCACACGTTTCGTGGCTCCATAGGGAGCTCCACCGAAGGCCCCAGTGCCCGCGCCCGCATGCGTCACCCACACCCATTTCGGCACACCCCTCACACGTTTCGTGGCTCCATAGGGAGCTCCACCGAAGGCCCCAGTGCCCGCGCCCGCATGCGTCACCCACACCCATTTCGGCACACCCCTCACACGTTTCGTGGCTCCATAGGGAGCTCCACCGAAGGCCCCAGTGCCCGCGCCCGCATGCGTCAGCCACACCCATTTCGGCACACCCCTCACACGTTTCGTGGCCCCATAGGGAGCTCCGCCGAAGGCCCCAGTGCCCGCGCCCGCATGCGTCACCACACCCATTTCGGCACGCCCCTCACGCGTTCCGTGGCCCCATAGGGAGCTCCGCCGAAGGTCCCAGTGGGTGTGCCCGCATGCGTCCCGCACACCCATTTCGGCACACCCCTCGGCCCCACTGCCCGCGCCCGCATGCGTCAACCACACCCATTTCGGCACACCCCTCAAACGCTTCGTGGTCCCATGGGGAGCTCCACCGAAGGCCCCAGTGCCCGCGCCCGCATGCGTCACCAACACCCATGTCGGCACACCCCTCACACGTTTCGTGGCCCCATAGGGAGCTCCACCGAAGGCCCTAGTGGGTGTGCCCGCATGCGTCCCGCACACCAATTTCGGCACACCCCTCGTACGTTTCGTGGCCCCGTAGGGGGCTCCACCGAGAATATATTCATAATTGCAGTATTCACGATTGCAGATGGTTGGGTCCTTCGCCAGGATAATTGAGACGCGAGAAAGACAGCACTCAGGCGGGGGACCCCCGCATCGCCGCATCGCTGCCTCCGCACTCCATCTCGGAGAAAAGCTCCGCATCCTGATGCTGCGCTCCTCCTGAGACTTCTCCACCTCCACCTTCCTCTTCCTCCGCCTCCGTTCCTCTTCTCCTCACTCGCCCTCCGGTTCTCCTGAGTTTTCTCCTCGGCACCTGGATGTACATCGGGCTGCGCGCCTTTTCAGCGTTCGGCCCTCGCGTGACCGGGTACCGCACGCCGACAGCATGTCGCACAGCTACACGCGCCAGCCTGAAGGCGGTAGAGGAGGGTGCAGGGGGTGGAGGAAGTGGGAGGGAGGAGGGCCCCTGGCTCCATCACCCCATCCTCGTCCTTCCTCCCTCCTACCTCTGGAGGCGTCGGAGTCCTCTGGGCGAAGCCGCGTGTCAGTGCCAGACAGCGCCAAGTTCGTTTTCCGATGACCAGAGCAATAACGCGCCATTCGTACACATTCCCGCGGGCCTTTTGGTGGTTCATTGTCCCGCTAGGGTCCTCGGCCCCCCCTTGGAGATCAAAGCTTTCTCATATTTATTGGGTGCCAAACTAAGGCGGCGACGGCGGGCCCGAAAGACTCGAATTCCTGTTTGCAAAATGTTAGCGAGCGTGGGCCCCGAACGGTGCATTGCGACCAATATTTTCGGTCCACTCTATCCCAGTTTGGGGCCTCTTGAGCAGCTCCTGAAGCTCCATTATAATCAGGCCGTCGGGGGCCTGCCTCGGCTGCCTTGCACCACTCTCGATTGCCAGAACCACTCGAAAGCCTCGGCAGGGGCGCCCAAGGGTCTTGCACCCCTATCTTCAATACGCTGGAGGATGTCTGGGGACAAACTCCCGCCCCGCACGCGGCGCCTCCCAGCCGCCGCGGCAGGACCATGTATTCTGCGAGCCGGCGGCGGGCGCCGGCGCCGAGTTCCCCAACGGGGCCGCGGAGTCGCCAGCCGAGCTGGAGTCGCTGGCCGAGCCGGCGCCTCGCGGCCCCGAGGCCCTGGCGCGAGCCGCCGCTGGCACGCCGCCTTTGACGAACGAATAACGCACACAACACACACAAGACACCACACACACAAGACAACACAGCACAACACAGCACAGCACAGCACAACACACACACACACACACACACACCCATACCATAGGGAGGTCGGAGGGAAGAGGACTGGCTACGGCGACGGGCATCACGCGGGTTGTCGGGCCCCTGGGGAAGCTCCTTCCCGTGCGGGGAACCTCCCTTCGACAACCCGCACCCATTAGCCCCGTCCGTCCCGCCTACGGGTATGGGTATGTGTTCTGTCTGTTCGTCAGTTTTCGCCGCATCCTCCCTTTTCGCTGGAGGAGGAGGAGGAGGAGGAGCAGGAGGAGGAGGAGAAGGAGGAGCGTCGCGTGGAGCCTCCCGGCCAGCTTTGCCCTCTCCTCCTGTCCTCGGGGGCCCCAGACGGTGTGGCGACCAGAACGCGTGGTGAGTCAGTGGTGTTCCGGGCTCACCGCATCTTTTTCAGACTCGGGCCGTTCTCCGAGGACGTCTCTGGCGAAAGTACAAAGGTGGAGAAAGTCGACGTCAACCAGTCGAGGTCCCCTCCCAAAGGGTTAGGAGTACTTTTTTGTTTCTCGAGCATCCCGCACCAGGCGTTGGGAACTTCATACGCTGCCCTACGAGGCAAAAGCTGTTCTTGGGGACAACGTCAACCGGCCAGTCGACGATCCGTCCTGAGATTGACCAATCGATGCGGCATCGACCAACCGACGGCACAGAAGCTGGCAATGAGACGGCGATCGGCGATCGATAACGGTCGGCGATCGACGACGACGACGACGACGACGACGACGACGACGATGACGGCAACGATGACGTTGACGAAGACGAGCGACGACCATCGACATCGACGACCGACGATCGACGACAACGCTTCGGCATAGCAAAAACCAGAAAGGCGGCCGGGCCTCTCATAAGCCCTGCGGCCCTCTGCGAAGCCGCCTCTGCTGTCGGAGAGGGCGTGGAAGACCTCTGGGCAGGCCAGCGCCCCTCTGCATTCCCCCCTTGGGCCCGCCGCCGAACGCAGCGACGGTCGACGGCGACGAGATCGACGACGGACGACCGGCGACACCTGGTCGGACGAGCGCCCCAAGGCCGGCGGCCAGGCCCTGCGGAGCGCCGGCGGGACAACGGCCAGGGAGTCAGGGAGCCAAAGTTGGAGCGCGCTCCTGTATTGCCCTGGGGCACACTGGGCATGATAGCCCCCGAACCCCTCTCCCCCACCCCCCCGTAAACGTCACGCCCCTCCCCCCCCCCAAGTGCGCTCCGGGCACTGCCGCCGTGCGCATCGGGCACACGGCGGGGGAAGGCGTTACATTATATCCCCCCCGCAGCCGCCCCCCCCCCCCCCCTATAATGCCCATCGTCGCAGAAAATTGAACGCGCTCTTAGCGCGCCGATGCAGATGGCCCATACGGCTGAAGCTGCAAACTGGCTACGGCAGGTTCGCGTCGTGTCGACCAGCGGCGACCCCAGCGCGGCCGTTTAAGGTTCAACGCCGCCCGTGGCCCAGAGTCGGCCCGTCGTTGAACGATCCGGCGTTCACGGAGCGGCCGATCGTTCAAGTTTGAACGATCCCCGCGGTGTCAGGAACCAGCGCCTAGGTCGACACGACGCGAACTTGCCGTAGTGCTGGACCGCGATGAGAAGGGGCGACCTTGCAGTTGCATGGAACATAAAGCTCCACAGGACAGCGGCCCACAGCACACAAGCGGGGGCACTTTCCAGTTCAACTTCGAGAATACCGAAGGAAGTTGAAGCGGAGCGAGTGGGAGTACAAGTGCAGGAATTGTTGACGCTTCGCGAATCCCCACCACGTGGGCAGCACTGGTCTGGTTTCTCGGGCTGGGCACCCCCTGGGCCACCACGCGCCTTAAAGTCCCCTTGGCCTCGCTTCCCCCCCTTCCGGTCGTCAGGGGCATCAGCCATCGCCCCAAACGCACCTGCCGGTGCACCCCCGAGGACGTGCTACACCAGGCTTGGAGTCAAGATACTGGGAAATGCAAGCGACACCGGGTACACCCAGGGATGCAACACCTCCAGTCCCTGCTCCGCCCAGGCCAAGCCGACTCGGCGCTCAGGCTTTCCCTACTCAGCGGCGACGGACACCCCTTAGACACCCCCACGCTCCGGGTCCTCCTGGTGGTGATGATGCTCCAGCTGCGTGAGCCCCGAGCCACGCTTTGGCCATTCCCGCACCCAGGAGCCACGGGGGACATCTTCGAAGCAGCCATGGGCCTCTGCCTCCCTTGGCAAGACGCCCACAAGGATTACAGGGCCCAGTTTGCTGCGGCCTGGGGCTTCGACCTGAGTGCTTTCGCATCCCTCCACGGGAAAATGGAGGACGCCATCAGGCACATCAGCACACTTGCCACTTTCGCTCACTTCCACACAGTTGCGACCATCCATGGTTGCCCCAAAACGTGGTCAGGGATGCTGGAACACAAGTTCACCCTGGAAGCCCCCATGCGGGTGCTGGAAGCTATCGTCAAACTGGCTGACATCAAGTCCCTGGGCCGGGGAGGCTGCTCCATTTGCACACTGCACAAGGAGCTTGCTGGGATTGAGGCCGGGCTTGGCTGCTCAGACACCACGGCAGACATGCAATTGGCGGAGGAATTGCCATGTCCAACACGCGCCTGGACGAGGATTTCCCCGCATCCCCGGCCCCCGTCACTGTGCTCATACCCCCCACCGTTAGCGATGGCAGGTTCCTCACCAGGCAGCAGGACGGCAGCTACGACTGTGACGAATGCACTAACGCGGGGCTCCAAGGCGCAGCAGGCACCTGGGAGGACGACGACACGAGGGAGCTACTGGCGCAGAACCGCGCCAAAGCCTACATACAGTGCCGGAACTGCAGGTGGCTATGCGAGTAGTGCTGGATCAAGTCGCTTGAGAAGAAAGGCATCGAGGTCCCCCCGGCCAGTAGCAAAGACCTCGCCGTCAAAAAGTCGCTGCAGCAGCGCCTCCAGGAGCACGAACGCAGACTGGACGAGGCTCGTTTTCAAAGGAAAGCCCGGGCCCTCCCCCCTTTGGACCGGCTACCAATCGGGCACGGGCAACCGACCACCGCGTCGCTCCCCTCCTGCCTGGGTGACCTCGTGATGCGCACCCCGCCCGCCTTTCAGCCACAGAAGATCGGCACCACTCCCCCAGCTCACAAGCTGTCGGACGGCAGGTTCGGGCCAGACTCTCACCGCGCGAGCACCTACACCGCCATGTGCGACACCTGCCCCCCGGGGTCGCCACTGCTCGTATGGGCGGCCGGCAGCCCCGCGCTCGGCTGCTTTATGTGGCGCCCGGAACCTGGGGCACCGTGTAACGAGCAGACAGGGCCCCCGCCATGGGGCCTGATGCCCACGCTCTGGACACAGCAACAATGGAACGCAGGTTGGGCCTGCAGGAGATGTTTCATCCACATATGGAATGTGGCCCCCGGGGCCCTCGACCGCACTTTGGACCAGCACTCCTCTGAGGTGCACCCCCTCGCCCTTGCTAAGCGCGCAGCAACAGCAGAAATGCAAGAGGATCGAGAGCTATGACATCAGCGCCCACCTCGCCCCATCAGGTATCAACGCAGCGGCGAAGGACGCCTACTCAAGGCCAGTGGTCCCTGTAGGCGAATCCACCTCCAATGACATGGAGCTCAGCAGCACAGCTGGACAAACAGGCGAGACCAGCTTGGCCCGTCGCGACAGCAACTCTGCGTTCCCCAACTCGGACCCACCAGAGCGTCCCGTCCTGCCATCTCTATCCACCTACTGGCTCGCCGGGGTGGAGTCCGACGGCCCCGTCCACGCTCTGGCGAAGTACCTGCTCGAGTGGAATCACACGGTCTACCTTTACTGGGCCGATTTCGGACAGCAGCACGGGGGGGACATCCCAGGTGACAAAACCGATGAGGCGCTGTGGCCCACAGCACGCCTGCTCCCCTTCCTGGGAATGATCTACGGTGACTCGATCCCAGCGAACGAACACCCCCCGCGCATCCCGTGGGACGGGCAGCGGGCTGCAGCCGCCAGGGTGGCATCCCACCTAACGGGTCGGAGTGAGAAATGCCGGGCGGAATGGGACCGCTACGCTGCTGGCCTCGCGGAGCAGAGAGGGCGGCATCCCTTCCGAGAGCGGATTCGCACCCTGCTGGCATTCCTCGCGGAATTGGGCCCCGCTGCACTCGCCTTGGGGACCACCGCCCTCCTTTCCACCCGCGACCCGCGCGAGACAACAGCAGGCGCCCCAGCTGAGGCTGAGTCACCAGCAGCCACTTGGCTTAACAGGGCAGCCGGCACTGAGGCCCCTCCCCCAGCGGACAACCGTGGAGGCGTGCAAGAGGACCCCCCCCCATAAAAAAAAGCCGCTGGGGCGGAAGGGGGACGCGCCCCTCAGGCAGAGAGAAAAGCACCTACCGGGCAGACGTGCAAGAACGAGGGCGAAGTAGATGGGGTCGACTGGGGGGGGTGGCAGACAAGAACAGTGAGTCTGACACCCTCAAGGAATCATGCTCGGAGCCCAGTCTAACCCCCGCTGCTGGCGACCGAGACGAGGAAGTCCCTGACCCCCTCAGGCTCTGGTCGGCACCACCCGCCAGGGTCACCTCAGAGGCCTGGTCCCCGCGCGTGCAGGCCGCGTCCAGGGGCGCTGCCGGCGCTGGCGGGGGCGCCATGCAGCTGGGGCCATCGACGACGCCAGGGACGATACCTGAAGGCATTTGAAGTTAGTAACTGTTAGGCGGAGTTATAACTTAGTTCTAACTCAGTTATAAAAGTTAGCATGTTGATTTATTTCTGATAACATGATAGTTTTTCGGCTAACATATACTTGATTTTGGGGCGTTCAATGTCGTTTCAATTTCGATGTTGTGTTTCTTGCGGGATGATTTGAAGGTGTATTCATTGATGTGAAGATGTATACTTCTACATCGCAAACGCGTCAGCATTCCAATTTGCGATACT